CTTGCAGCTTCCAGACCTGTTTGAGATTCATGGGGCTTGACTTCTTCTTTGTGGGACCAACCCAGGGCGGACTTGTCCTGACGATCCTTCTGGACACCGTACTTCCCACCAAACCCAACGGCATAGTCTGAAGTGGGAGAACACAACATTCTTCAGAAGGTTGATGACATGGATGGTGAGGAAAACCTATGGAGATGCTCCATCATCCAGGGCATGGATTGTCTCAAAGGTGCTGGCAACTGGACTTTCTTGGTTTTTTTGAAGATGCTTCGCTTCTCTTCCAAGAAGCTTCTTCAGTTCTGACTGAATGGTGGTGGTGTGTGGGGGGGGAATGGAAAGAGTATCCTCAGAGAGACTACTAATGACCAGATGACCGCAAGGAGTATTAATCCTTCCATTCCCCACCACTGAGTCAGAACGGAAGAAGCTTCCTGGATGAGAAGGGAAACCTCTTCAAGGAAAAACAAGGAAGTCCATTTGTGGTGCATCACCACCCTTGGGAAGAGATGGGTGCATCAATGAAAGTGAACTGGCATTCTTGGGCCCCTCTTACTGGGGAAGGGCTGTGGGAATTGGAGAAAGTATAGGGGGAAACACCCAGAAAGCCGGGAGCGGGTTGCTTCAAAACTTACCTTTTTGAGAGGTGTGTATATCTACCTCTCCTTTGTAGTCAAACCCGAGCGCGGACTGCAGGGGAGAGAAAGTGAGAGACAGAGTAATTGCAGCCAGTTGTCTGGGTCACTAGGAATCAACAATAACTGGACGGCTCAAAATAATCAACCAAATGGTTGCCTTCCCTCCATGTTGTTGTCGTTTAAAATGGTAAGCCATCCAGAGTCCCTTAGTGAAGTGAGCAGGTTATAAATTTGATGAATAAATAAATAATGTTGAATGGGAAGAAAACAAAACCACCCAACTTCTCTGCTTCCCTTTCATGCTACAATAAGTAGTATAACCCAAATAGTAGGCAGACCGGTAATAAAACAGCTCCAACCTTATCTGCTCGGTCC